CAAATATTTTAAAACACATAAGAACAAACAAACAGCCATTGGGTCAGACCAATTATCCCTGTAGCTCCTGTCTTCCCACAGTGGCCAATGCCAGGTACTTAGAGGGAATGAACACAACAGGCAATTATTGAGTGATTCAATCCCTGTTGTCCACTCCCAGTTTCTGGCAGTTAGAGGCTATGGATATTCAAAGCGTGTATTAGGGGTTTGGAACGGTTCCCATATGAAGAGATTAAAAAGACGGAGACTTTTCATCTTAGAAAAGAGGAGACTGGGGGGAGGGGGATATGATGGTCTATAAAATCAAGACTAGTGTGGAAAAAGTGAAGGAAAAGTTATTTTCTTGTTCCCATAACATAAGAACTAAGGATCACCAAATGAAATTAATAAGTAGCCAGTTTCAATCAAACAAAAGGAAGTTTTTCTTCATGCAGCACACAGTAAACCTGTGGAACTTCTTGCCAGAGGATGTGTAAAGACCAGGACTTTAACAGGGTTCAAAAAATAACTAGATAAATTCATGGAGGTTAGGTCCATCAATGGCAATTAGCCAGGATGGGTAGGAATGGTGTCCCTAGCCTCTGTTTGTTAATAGGCTGGAAATGGTTGACAAGAAGTGGATCACTTCTTTCCCTGTTCTGTTCCCTCCCTCTGGGTCATCTGGCATTGGCCACTGTTGGAAGACAGGACACTGGGCTAGATGGACCTTTGGTCAGACCCAGTTAGTCATTTCTGTGTCTCCCTGATCATCTTGGCTAATAGCCGTTGATGAACCTATCTTCCATGAACTTCATCCTTTGAGCCCCGTTACAGTTTTGGCCTTCACAACATCCCCCGGCAACGAGTTCCACAGGTTGACTGTGCATTGTGTGAAGTACTGCTTTTGTTTGTTTTTAACATGCTGCCAATTCATTTCACTGGGTGACTCCTGGTTCTTGTATAACATGAAGGAGTAAACAACACTTCCTTATTCACATTCTCTACACCATTGAGCATTGAACCGTAATCTGGAAGTGGACATTTTATGGGGCAAAAACACCAACTCTTAAATTTAATTCCCTGCTCTAGCTCCACTTGCCAGGCAAGCTATCCTAGAATCACAAAGAACCAACACGCTGATTTAGTCATCTCTAAAAACTTCCTAAATCCTAACCATAATCAGACCCAGGGAGGGAGAGGACTCAGAGCACTAGAAAGAGAAATAAGGAATGGTTAGGAAGAGGCTTTTACATTCTTTGTTCCAGAATACTGACTAGGGATTATACAACTTTGAAGTGCTTTCTTGGCTTGATAGCAGGGTGAACAACTCTGTGTGGGGATCTGAAAAGGAGGCATCATGGAGAAGTCTCCTATTTCACTAAGTAACCAAATTAAACATGAGACACTACAAGGCCTAAAAATAAACCCAGATCCCATGAAGAGTTTTCATTTTGTTTCAGTATCCACAGAGATTTTTGTCCTTGCTGGTTTCAGCGTCTTTGATCTTTGTGTCATACTTAGTAAAAAATCTGCAGAAAGTAGCAATAGCCTGGATGCAATTCCGGTTTCTATTTGCAATGGGTAAAAGGTCCAAAAGCTTTGGTTCAAACTAAAAAAAGTGGAGAAAAGACTAAGTCCTAAAGATAATCATTGTTGTCTGAAACTATCTAAAGTGCTAAAAAATTTTAATTGACCATTTGGAAAACAACCTCATTTAGAAGTATTGGCTACATAGAGACTGCTAAAGAGGGGAAAAAAAGGAGATTTTTGTAGCAACTGGTTATAAACTCCTGTACAGTGAGTCAGATCACGCCATAAGTGCCAGGGCCAATCGAGGTTTGTTATTTGTTATATATACCATAATGCTAGCGTGCACGTGTACGTAACGCCCAGAATTCCAACCAGGATCAAGGTTATAGCTATTGTTCAGGATGCTGTACAATTAGTCAGACAGGACCTGCCCTAAAGACGCAGTAAATCCAGAATGCTGAAACATTTCAAAATTGGTACAAGTCTGAATTCTGATTTGGGCATTCCAGTCTCTCTGGCACTCCACCTCATTCCTGTTTGAAATTTAAGGATCACTTCCCACCTCTCCATTCCTAATATATATTTTCAAGGATCTTTGTGCAACTGCTGTTCTGGTGGAAGACAATTGGATGGCTCACGGGTCTTTACATTTTGTATGACAGCACTGAACACACAACTCAGCCTTCTTTTAAAAAAAAAAAAAAAAAAAAAAAGATCTGTAGGACCCCTCAGCTATTTAGGGCATAAGTCAACACTGCATCTCACAATGTGCATATTCAATGATGGAGGATACTTGAAGATATTAGTGTTTAGAGGGTACTTTTCATTTGCAGAGCATTACAAGGGATAAGCCTCCTGGAAGGCCAGCCACACTGGCAGCTTCTGGTGCAGGAACCAGTATTCAGCTCAATAAAACAGGAATTCACCGTTCTTTTAATGCCATTAGGAGACTCATAAAATTTTGCAACATGATTACTATGCTCAAAGTGTCAATTTTTTTAAAGTGACCCGCCAAAAGAAACCTACAATACATCTGACAGTGTTTTTATCCATGAAAGCTATGCCTAAATAAAACTGTTAGTCTTTAAGGTGCCATGGGACTTCTTGTTTTTACAGTGTAAGTTTACTACCTCATATCACTAGGCAAAAACATCTGAATTATTATGGAACATGCTGGAGTTATCGTTTTGCTTTGCTGTTCACACACACAGGGCATTTTTCTCCTTTCACTTCAGGAAGATTACATTGCCAGACCAACCCATGGCAGCTACTAGAGCCAGGAGATCACACCACACAACATACTTGAGTTTGTTACATTTAATGTTGAAAGTTAGTCTGAAGGAAACCGATTTTACATCTAGAAGAAACCAAAGCCAGACCTGAAATTATTACAGACTAGCATATCAGTAAACAGTTTAAAGGGCCACACAAATGGTCACCAAACAAGATCATCAAACTGAATTTGCAGTGTTAAAGCATTTAGCAACTTAAACAAAAGATCTTTACCAAAGTCATTTTACACATTTCAATCTTTCCAAGAAAGTGATCGTCAACTTTAAATTCACACTTGAAAACCAGTAGGTTGAACTTTTTCGCAAGTAACATGTTTATTGTAACTGAACAATTACTGAAAAATAGTCTTTCAATTTTGTTTTTACCATTGCCTCTGTTCCTGAAAAGCCCTTCCTGTAGCGATAGCAACTCAGCCGACACATTGGAAGAGATAAAAGTATGATTGTAAAACTGCAAGATATAGCCAGACAACCCAGGAGAAGATGTGGTACCCAAGAATATTTTTTTAAATTGGCAAGATTTCAAATTGGCAATAAGCCATAACATGTGCAAAAAAAACATTCCTTAGTTTAGCTTTTTGATCAGACAGGCACGTGTGTATCTGTTTTGTTTGTTTGTTTCTTAAGAACAAAAGCCTCTCTCTAAGGTGCAGACTGGAAACAATTTTTAGACTTCCTAAGCAACATATTTCTAAAACATGGCCTCTTTCTGACAAAAGGTTTTTCAGATTCTACTGGACTGATTAAAGTGTTCTCGGCCCTAAGTAACCTACAGAACCATTTCATAGCTATGATCAAGCCTAATAACCTCAACTATGACAACAGCTGAACAAGAGCTGA